GAGGACAAGTCGCAGTGTACTTGGAGCTACTATCGCTGCAAGAAGATGGATTGTTTCTACTTGTCCCCGGAATGGTATTCTGAGGTGTTGTGGCGGGTGCGACTTCGTCGGCTTTTTTTAAGTTAACATTAGCTGTATGCTTTATGGTCGGCACAGCAATCTTCCTCGTGACTGTAATAACGGGGGCCTCTGAGACCTGACCTCCTTTGGGTTCATTTATATTCCATTGTGAGCTCTCAAGTCCGTCCATGATATATCGGTCAACAACCGCATCACCCATTTCGACATCGGGGTTTGTAGAGTTAGAGTCTTCTTCGAAAGCTCTTATCCTCTCGGTCATGTCCAGCTCCATTTTTCGCCCGTCTATCGAGCTCAATTGTATGTTTTTTTTTTCAAGCGCTTTTCTAGCCTGGTTTTCGCTCTATCAATGGTTCTTTGAAGGCAAATAGATCGCGATGATTTGGCAGGCCCCGGAGACATGTTGGAGATCCGGGGTCTTGCTACTGAAAGAATTCAGATTGGTGTAAATGTATGTGAGTCGGAAGGGAACGGTGATGGTAATGGGGTATCTAATCAATTCTCTCACGAATATTCAGGACTTTTGGTACCGGTCATGTGTCATAGCTAGATAGCTGAATACACATTAAATGATATTTAAACAATGATTTGCGTTTGGTTTAAACCTATTCTCATGAAACAAATCCAGTCTTTTGTTTGTTCATATTTTCTCTTCCACGCGCCAGTATTCCGGGTCAGTGAATAATTATTTTCTATTTAGGGATCTCGATTAATTCAGTAGTCAGCTCGGTTCTTGGTAACCTTGCCTCCTTACAGATCTACTGTATATATCTTGATGCCTGTAGTTTGATTAGTTAATTGAGCAAACTGAACCTCTTCTCCTATCTCATGAATTTCTTATTACGAAGTTCTTTCTACACTCTAACAGATCTAGATACCGATAACCCGTCGAGTATGTTTCAAAGTTATCCAGATCGTAGAATAGGAAAAGAAGCCATCCGAAACAAAGCGATTGAGTCTGCAGAGTCATCTGTAAGAAAATCGCCGTGCCAACTTTCAAAAGCATACCCATTGGTATAGGCATGGAATTTACGCCATAGCTACACTCAGTGATAAAGGCAGTAAAGCTTCAAACAGCGCACCCAACTTTCTGCTCGACTACGAAAAGCAATGTCGAGGCAGCACTTTCACTTCTGTCCACAGGTGATCATGTAGCATTTGAAGATGGAATCAAAGTTTTCCTACTAGTATCCATCAACAATTTTGTATTTTTTGGCATGGGAAGCACATCTTCTATTACCCCCACTCACCATAGAAATCCTCTTCCACCAAGGGCTATGGAAATAAAGGTCCCTAACCATTTGTGGTGGAACAATAGTCTCCAACTTATATAATACATCCGTGGCATTTTTACATCAGAAGCTAAAATATCTAGATTAGATAGAAGAATTAATGAATTATATGTTCATATTATTGTATCGCAACATTGAATATATTCTATTGGATCATCGTTTGGTCAAATGCGGCACCACGTTCCACGAACGTTATTTCATCGTTTAAATTATTGCTACCATCATTACAAGCCCATCTTATCTCGCTCCCCGATTTTTTTTCGCTGTGCTTCATCATGGCGGGTTGGGGAGCCAGAAAGGTGGATTTCACGGCTGGAAAAAAGTTTCATGGCACCACAACCACCATTAACGGATAGCGGAACAGCCGCAATAATGCTTGTAGAATCTCTCGCGACATCTACAGTCACGAAACTGGTTAAACTAAAAACCATAGCTTATTATTTAAATATGTTAGAGACAAACTGGTGATTGCAGGAACTGACGGATCTACGACACCGATGGTCGAGATAGATGAGGTACTTGATGCCTTCGTAGCCCACGCCAAGATGTTCCGATCGAAGCTGACGGCTAACCCATAGGAAGAACGAATGCTAGCCTTATAAAAGGCAGTAACTAAGAGCCTCGATGATCCTGTGCGCAAGACGGCTCATCAGTCGGCACAAATAATGGAAGGTCGACCTACCTATGCCTCAGTCATTGCACCTCCAGCAATTAAAGCGGCCGTAATAATACGAATGGAAGGGTCAGAAAAGATGCAGCCAACTGAGCTGCTAAACAAGGCTAAAAAACATATGGAGGGGGCATATTCTGTAAGTCAGCTGAGGAGTAATGACACAGAGGTGTTTGTGCAGTCGGTCTCCCAGCGAGACGCTGCCTTGAGGATGACACAACCAAAGGAGTTCTGCATACTAAAGTAGGATTACCCTGTTGAAATTTTGGGAGTCCCATTGGGGACAATTATACACGGAGTAAAGAACGCAAACATTAGTGTGGCAATGTTAAAGATGACAACGGAGACAAAAGCACGGATTCTTGGAATCCAAATCAATAGGTTGAGGTGGCTTAACGACGGCAAAGACCACCATTGGATGAAGAAAAACGGCCATTCTCGAGGGTCAGTTATCGCAAGCCAAGCAGTGCTTCAACTGCAGCAAATGGGGGTATACCCAAGCTTCTTGCACTATGTCAAGGAGATGTGGTGAGTGTGCAGGCACTCACCAGACCAGAGACTGCCCGGAGAAATGGGTGCTTTGCTGCAACTGTGGCAAGGCGCATATGTCGTGGCAGAAGAAGTCGTGTCAAAACTTCGCGTTATATAAGGCTAGTGTTCAAAGGGCAAGGTGGGGACTTTTGGAACGAACGGCAGATATAAGAAGGGAAGAAATAAGACCAACGGTAATAAATCAACCTATAGCTAATACAGCAACCGACCAATGGTTCACACTCGTGTCCCATCAAAAGCTTGAGGGCGTCAAAAGAAGGCCAGCACGCCCGCCCAAACAGCTCCTAGTTAATCCCCCACCACAAGTAATTAGACCATCAGGGTCAAGTTCAAGACCACAGCCAACTCTTTTTAGCACGCGAGGGCAGGGAAAGGATGGCGAGGGAAACTTTAATTTTACCTAGTCTTGTCTCTGATTGAAGGCCAATTGCACTTACTGTAGGTAACGAAGTACTACAGGTAAAAATTTAATAGGGGGAGGGATTTTTTACCGCAAGGTTTCCTCCTCATGTTAATATATAGATAGGTTCATAGCCGCCTACATGGGCCCATAGGGCGTCAAATCGGGTTAAATGAAATCAAATTCAAATATATTCTATTGATTTTTCGTTTACACACGTATACTGTGTTGTACCAACAATTTGGTACCCTAGGATCTGGCCTCAAACCCTGATGAAAGTGAAGGCCGATAAGCGGCTATTTCTCCGCCTCGAGACCAACCACGATTAACGACTCTTATTCCCAGCTGAGGTGAGATTAGCTGTGCCACTAGTTCTCGGTATTAAGGCCAACAATATAAAGTTAGTTTGGCTGATCAGGACCGACTTTGCATCAGCAACGAAGGACTATTGTGCAAGAGAATAGCTCCTGGAATCCATCGCGTTGCCAAGGGATCTAAACATCACTTTATTACTAGCATCAGACCTGGTTGCCGTCCAAATTTCTACCATGCCAGCGGTATTTCACAAAATTTCTGGTGCCACAGTCACGACGGCGCAGATGTTTGCCGAAGTAGTTACGCGAGTGACCAAATCGGTTCCCTTTCTAATTCGTTCACACGGGACTCGCAAACTTGGGGCACCTTACTAGAGTAGGAGGGCGCCTTGCCCTAGCTATTCCACATCATGTATAGTTGTTCCTGCACACTATCATGCTGGGACTGTGGGTCAACGATGCACTGACAGGCAAAGTGTTAGCCCCTCAAGCGATGCCTATACCGTGGGAGACCTCAATGATCGGATTATTGGGACTGCCTAGCTAGCTCTACGGAGAATGGATAGGTGAATAAAAATCGGCTCGCACTGATTCACCAAGTCAAGTAAGAGAGGTTCGCAGCAGTAGCACTGGCCAGAACTGCGGCATAAATAACCGAAAAGCATATCATCGCCTCTTTGAAGGATGTTCCCATGACAAATGGATCGGGGCTCAGAGTTCTGGAGTGCAAACAGGAAGGTTGATCTTGCAGTAGCCCAAGAAAAGATTTCGAAGGATTAAAAAAATAGAGCATGAAATGGCTTGACTAGAGAGATATCTACGAATTCACCTTTTGCTCTCAGCAGAGGTTAGAAAACGTCAATTAGTAGATTTTTAGAGAAATGGAATGGGCGAGAGGCATTGGGCCGGAATTCTTCAAGGTAGGTTTTTCTATTTTTGGAGCGTATTGTACTTTAACTTGTTATTTTTATATATTGTTATTAAATCTAGTACGGCTTCTGTAGCGGTTACTGCGTTGCGAATGATTCGGACCTGTTAGAAGCGATCCCCGCCTGCTCCACCGGTTCTGAACCTGTAGTGGGCTTAGAGTTTTACCTTAGGACTCCTAAAGAATACAAAAAAATCACCGAACAAGTGTGTCTAGTTGAACTGTTTGGTAAGGTACAGTAATGAAAGGTAGATAAATCGTTTGATTTTATAATCAAATTAAGACTTTTATAAGTGGTGCGGTTGGAGGTGAGCTCTAGAGAAGGAATAGGTATCTTATGATTGGAAAGAAATAACCAGCACTTCCTACAGTATTACAGTCCAAGTGAGGAAAGCAATCATATCGAAAATTTAAACATCTAGCTAAATGCACCCGAGACATTCTTGAAACTGATGACCTACTATTCCGATCTTTGTAGACAGCCTACGTCTCTTCTGTCTACAGGCTATAGCGTGCTCAATAACCATCAGTAACCTGCATCATAGGAATATTTTTCCACAAAGTCACTTATTATGGTTGAGTAGTAATACCCCGCAACCTTAAACTTGTCATTCTGATAAGCGATGTTGATGGGATAGTCTTATTAAGTAGTAGCAGTCACTTTAGGCCCCCTGTCCTAGTTCTTCACTTTACTTACCCCCACCACACATCATTCTCTTCACTCCACCCGTCAAACAAAAAATCTCGATATGAAGGTCTAGGAGAGATGTTGTCCGACCGATGGATTCAACACCAGCGAAAGCAAAACCGACCCAATACATTTCAATGGACTTGTCATTTATGTCCTGCTCCTGCACTGTTCCACAGCTCTGAATCAGTATGGGCTCATTGTGAAGCACATCACCCTTTACCTGATAATATTCAAGCTTTAGAAGAATTTCGTAAATCTTATCTTGAATCTTGCTCCTCTCGGTGAGTTTTATCTGCGAGTCCAGAAAATCGCCTATCAAGGTTAACATACCGATCACAGGCTCAATAGGGTGACCTCAAAACGCTTACATAACTCTAATGAAGTTAAGCTCAAAGTACCCAACTCTATTCCTTCTAGTCAAACCCAGCGTGTAGAACTTCCGATAAATTTGCCCATTATTGAGACGCTCAAGATTTCTGGATCGCCAACCGACTCAGATGTGCGCACACCCAATGTTCAACTAGAAAGTCACGTATCTAAAATAACGGCAAATGAGGGAGACGGATTCTCTTCGGGTTCAGGAGGATCTCCAAATTACCAGGAATCTTCTTCATCTCGCAAAGTGAATGCATGTCGAACGTCTGATGGAAAACGTGGCTCACTTGAGCATAGACGTTCCATTGGAAATCCTAAATCTATTTGGGTAGAGGGAGATGTCGCTCCGACTCGCTCATGTGTCGATCAATCAAATATTGCGTCCGTAGCAATAGCAAGGAAAAGACATCAACAACTCCAGAATAATTCGCGCATGCCATCTAAAAGCAACAGCCCAAAGTCTAAAGTTACACCGAACCCACCAAATTTTAGACATCAACAAGGGCGTGAGACTAGGGTTGAGAGAAAGCCCATCCCTCAAGCTGATATTCAACTCAACTATCTCAGAAAGTCTTCTACTGATATCAAAAAAATTGCGAAGGACTTGAGTACCATAGAAGCTAGATGTAAGGAATACGTCAAAAATTTTGCTCCCACGTCTCAAGCCTTTGATGATCAAGAATCTCCAACCCACAAACATTTTCAATTCCTTATCAAACTTCATACCGCTTTTATTTATCAACTACATGATTTACTTCTCGCTACTCAGCAGTCATCGGCAAGTCCCCAGCTACGGTATTTAGCTTCCAAAATACAGATACCAGCGAGGATGTGGCAGCGTGGAATATATTCCACGTTAGAAATTCTGAGAAATTACTTGCCTGACTCACTAGATCATTTGCTCGCTTTTATCTACCTCTCATATTCAGTAATGGCTGTACTATACGAAACAGAACCTGTATATGAAGATAGATGGATAGAATGCCTCGGAGATCTTGGTCAATACCGAATGGCCATCGAAAAAGATGACGAAATAGAACGAGAAATTTGGACTAACATTGCTAGAAATTGGTATACAAAGGCGTCAGATAAAAGTCCAATAGACGGTCGGATTTATAATAGCCTTGCCAATCTTGAGGGATCTTGTGTTCTCGAACGGCTTTATTTATATTATAAGTCCCTCTGCGTTCCTATTCCCTTCAACTCGACGCGTCGAACGATACTATCACTGTTTAAACCAATAATGTACCCAAACAATGAAAATAAGCAAGAAAGAATTTCACCTCTAGAAGATAAATACCTTCAGATACACGGTTCTCTTTTTACAAATAGCGATCTTGAATCTCTTGACCAAAAGACCGAGGAGTTTCTTAATTGTTTTGATGAACAGTTATCAAGGTTCAACTTCAGATACCAGGGATATCAGATTGCCATTGCTAATTGTATCGCTATGCTAGAATATGGGTCAAAAAGTAATATTTTAATGAAATTTCTGGTCCCAACTCCGGAGAAAGAAGATACTTGTATTAGCCCAACCGAAATTGTTGAGCAGAAGAGAGTGTTCGAACTCGCACGGAATTTCAGTAACCTGACTCTCACTCATGTGCTGCATGAAGAACACTGTAATTCAAATATTCTAGCTTTTATCCATGTTACTCTTGTATTTATACTAGGTATTGCCCGTGCACCCGGTGCCTTAGCTCACATCGCGCCTGGGCTCCCTTGGGATATTTTGGCTGAAAAGTTGAATTATTATCAATCACATATCGGAAAATCAGGTAAACTTGAAGGCAAAAAATTCCCCAGGCTCGAGAAACAAGGTTCACAATATCTTCCTGAAGATCACGCGATTCGTGGTCTTATCTGGGCTCTCGACTATTTCCCGACTGGCTGGTTCACAAATAACAAAATAGATATAGAAGAGAGGCATGTTGAAACCGATACGATGGCCTTGGTGAGGATGGAGCGGATTTTATGGCTTGCACATGGAATTTCACAACTTGATTCCCCGCTCACCTATGATGCTCAGTTATTTTCTATCGCCGTGAATATTTCCGAAAAATCGAATGAAAAGACTGTCCAGAAATCCAAGATAACCAATGACGCCGCATAATCATGTAGCTCTAGGGTTTTGATTCACTAAATCAGTTCTTCGGTTCGTCCAACATGGCAACCTCACGTCAAACAATATCATGAAAAACTTACAAATGAGTTCGAGATGATTATATGCACACTTGAGATGACAAATTGTAAGTCTAGAAGGTCAGAGATAGTGGCATTAGTTTTACTAATCCTTTTAGCATTGTGTTGAGTATTTTGACAGCTTTACCGGAAATAATTCGAGCCTTTAAGTCGCGGTAGGACCAATTTTCAAGCAAGATCTTGATCTATAGGTAGATGCTTGGTGGCCATGCAACAAAATTCAGATCATATTAAAAAGTTATGACAACAGGATAAAGTCTGATAAAATTATCTACACATGCAGATCTCACTACAGTAAATTGCCACTTGATGATATAGGCTAAACAACCTAAATATTAAATTTGAAGCAAAAGGCTGAGTATTTTTGCGATACGAGGTTCGTACTAGATTCCAACCTGGGATTAGGAATCAAATAGTCTGATTAAATTTCGATCAAGAATTGTATTTCCGACTATTCCATCGCTTTCAGAGGCTTATCAAAAGACTTCTATCGGGTAGAAGATACATATTCATTAGGTGATTGAACAAAAACTTAAGCTAAAGTCGCTACGGGCCTTGACCTACGTTGGATTTTTCCTAATCGAGGAAGAATTTTGGAGTTGAAGTTTCGTTCAATCGTTTGGAGTTTATTCCGCTAGCTACAATCCTTCTTGGAATAAATGGTAGTTTCAGTATTTTTATGAGGCTATTCCATCTCTAGTTTTGTGGTCATTTAGAGTCTGGCTATTGTCCATGCACACACTCATGAGAATTTCATTGAGACATGTATTCATCAGCGGCTTACATGATTTCTACGTTATCGAGCAGTTAAGTCGCATGCCGAATTTCAGAATTTGGAACAGTTAATGACATGAGGTGGCTAGGGCTCACAACCAACATAATAGTCTCAACTTAAAAGTTATTCAAAAGCGATAAGCTAGACTTGAAAATACTTAAATTCTCGTTACCAGTTCACTTCGAGTAATTGTCAGGGAAACATATTCTTGTTTCAGAGGTATTCTCTGGATACTCATAAGCTTGCCCATTGGTGCTAGTATCTAAGCTGAAGTGTCTTCTTTTTGTTGAGGGTAGACAGGGGGGGAGTCGTAAATCTATCGCCAGATTAACCAACATAATTTTGACTCCCTTTAAACGACCAAGATGTGGGGACGAGGTGGCCTCAAAGAATTAGCCGAACCTATAAAATTATTTTATTTAGAGCCGAAGCAGTATATTGCAATACGAGCGTGTTGTTCTGACCAGTTTATTGTTGAAGTTTTTGGTATGAATCAGTATGGAGCTTAGAAGAAAGTGAGGCTTCCATATAAGTGCCATATCTCTCTAAGTCGGAGGCTAAAACAGACCCACAAAATATGGGAATGATAGCATTGAATTTCTCATTCGCTTTGATTGGGTCTTATGACTTCTTTTCCATTCTTGGTATTAATCCACATACAGATCCTATCCGCAATTTTTTTCATTAGGGTCCAACCGGAATTGGGGAGCACCGAAAACGTTAATGTATTGGCCACACGATTCGTGCCCTTTTTACCATCGTCAAGATTGAAAATCATACTTATAAGGTATTTTTGGGATTCAACGACCATTTCATATTTACTGAGGCTAGAAATGCTAGTACCTGGCAAGTTATGGCGTGGGCGGAGTTCTGTCAAAATAGTCTTTGGTGACTTGCGACTGATTAGTTGAATATTTTTCGGTATGTAAAAATGATATACATACAAAACTAGTCAGATGAAGGCATGCCAAGTATGGTAAACGCTCATTTAATCCCAGCACAGGGCCTAGGAATCATATGCCATTATTTTTTTCTGCGACGCCACCAAAGTACAAGCGAATAAGGTCGAGCTCACACAGATGCACCTAATGTGGTGGAATTTTCTCGCGTTGTTTCACGGAGGGCCTCTTGGATAGCCCTTTTTTTAGCCGTGCCTACTCCCACGACACCTGCCTCCTGATTTTGACCAAGCCATGGCTTACGACTGTCGCCAAGCATACTTCCCGCTAAAAAATATACTGTTAGGCCAATTATTATAAAAGTAAATGCTATAGGGTAAAGGTAATAAATAGTATAGCCAAAAAGCTTTATACCAATAACGACGCCCCAGAAGTTTCCCGAGAGCAGTGAAATATCGAAGAAAGCTGCTGAAGCCATTCGTAAGATGAATGGTGCTAGAGAATAAAAAGCGAAGAGAGCAAAAGTGTAAGCTATAATGTAGCCGTAGACATGTTCATCCCAGACTGAGTTGACAAATGCTTCGCGGTCAAATATGATAGCTGTAAGGCCATTGATAAGAATTCCAAAAAACCCTAGCATACCAAGAACTTCGTATATAGGTCTTTGAGATACAAACCACTCCTCGAAGACATTTGATAGTCCGTAAAATGTTGCACCGGCTAGGCCAAAGAGATCACCTTTAAGTTTCGTTGGTGGATTACCACCATTTGTGCCATTCAGATGATCTGAGGCCAAAAGGAGACCCATGCCACCGCAACATATTAAGATGCCTGCTATTTGTGCTATTTTATAGCGAACATGGAGGAAAACATACGAGACTACAACAACGCATACAATGGCCGCAAAGTTGAGGAGCTGAGCTGAGAGGAGGTTGGTATAGCGGTAGGCAAGAACGGTGAGATAGTTTCCTTGTACATCTAGAAATGAAAGGACGGCGTATTTCCAGCCATCCACTGAGATTAACCAAAAATATCTAACTGGTCCGTATTTGTAGATTGTGTAACTTGTGAAGATAATAGCGAGTAGAATATAATTGAAGAGCGTCTGAAAGGTCGGAATCGAGGTGCCCTTGTCGACGAGCAAAGTGGAAAAAGTGTTCGTTGCAGTAATGCAGAGTGCGAGAACTTGTCTGGTAAGTTTTAGTTAGCGCGGGAAAGTGAAAGATATATTTCGAAATATGTACCCCAATATCAGGACTGTCCAGAAGTCTCTTGTCATTAAATATGTATACCATGCTGATTTCTTGCTCTCGATCACCTCTAGTCCTCGTTGAACTATTTCAGTATTTGCTTGAGGCTCATTATTTGTTATTCCGAAATCCTGTGTGTTTAAATCTTGAATTTCAAGCCCGCTAGATAGCTCAGGGCCTAACGTTAGACCAGTAGGTTGGTCGCTTACTTCTATAGAGGTATTATTTTCCTCGCACGTTTTATGCGCCATTATTTTTCTGTTCACTTTCTTCTATCTTGATTCCTCTCTTTCAAGTTTTGTTTAATTTAATTATATTTGTAAAATATTATTTTACAATCCGATTTCTAATTATCGTATAGTGAACATCGACAGTCTTCTTTGTCGCAAACAAATTAATATCTCTGTGGGTTGTTTAGTCTAATCGTGGAATTTCCTCCAAAATATTTTATTACAATCTACGTCGGGATAAGTGAAAACGAAATGGACAGGCGCAATCTTGCGCGTAGTTAGATTAAGTGGTTGAGAATCTCTGTGCCTGCAAGGAGCTCCTTGGGTGACCCAATAGTCTTGGCGACGAGTTGGTCCACTTTTTATCGTACCAAATTTGACAGCTCGACGCACATTCCGGTAAACAACAATAAACTTATAATTTCAGGATGTATAACGATCTCTTTTTGATACAAATGATCATTCAAGAAGTTTTAAGGTTAAGTTCTTATCTACAAAAGATAATTCTGTCAACGACCAAATATGAGCCTGTACTTTACAGAAACGGTTACGAGGGGACCCTTGGCACTCTCGGGGATAGTTCCTTCGGTATCCACAATAATTCTGTGGTCGTAATTAGTGCTAAATAATTAAGGATCGCACTTGGCGCAATGTCTCGATCGAACCTTGTTGGATTTGGTCGATTAACGATTATATTGTATAGATTAAAGTACTCTCAAAGAGTAAGATTTTTGTCTTCTTGTTTGTACTTGGTGTATTTACAGGAGGAGTGATAGATATTAGACCCAGATTGCCTCACACAGCACACTAAAATAATGATCATTTGGTACACGGATATCGATTGGATTGTCTCATACCTTTCGTTGATAGACCTTTTTCTGGATGGTCTGCGAGAACACCTGTCATGCAGATTAACTCATCTGAACTCTAACGAATGACTCAAAAGTCCATTCTGAATAGCTTTAACCATCAATGCCCAACTTTCCTGTCAATTAGGTAACTTTATCCGAGAAAAATTTTCAAGCTTCTACCAATATTCTCTAGATCAATTAGAAAACTGTCATGGCCAAAAAGGCTCAAATCCTCTCCGAGCTCATGATGCACGACCTGAGTGTTCCCCACGAGTCTCAATGTGTCGACAATCTCTTTCTGTTGCCAAGAGGGAAACAAGATATCACTCGCAACACCAATAATTAAGGTTGGATGCTCTTTTAAAGCGCTAAGGCCGAGAACAAGATCTTGCGCTGAAGTCTGAGGTACTAGTTGTTCTTCGTAGGGAGATTCAGGTAGCGTAAAATTGCACTGAGCTCCTATTTCTCTATTTGTAGTTGCATCTAATCTCCAAGCAGGAGCCGGTTCACTTAGATCAAATAGATCCATAGCTTTGCTGAGATATAGTAGGCTGTTTGCATCAAAGTTCAAGCAGAATTTATCGCCACTATGATCAAGATAGGTTTCAATGAGAAAATCTGGACAAAGTGCAGGTGGTTTACTCGGGTCAGCTCTCTTCCGACCGAATCGCTTTCCCCACTCTGGACCCGATCGATATGTAATGGTAGCGATTTCTCGAGCGAGTTTCATACCAACGTGAGGTGGTACACTACGATCGTAGTAAAAGCCTCTGTTCCAATTAGGGTCCATCATGAGAACTTGTCGTTGCGTGTGCCGCATTGCAATACTGTATGGATGACTTCGTGCGCAACTCGATATACTTGCAATCTTACCCACTCGCTGGGCAAACAAAGCCCCAACAGCTAAGGATTGCATACCTCCCATACTTGAGCCCACACTGGCGTAGAGCTTGTGAACTCCTAAGTCGTCCAGGACCTGAAATTGTGCGCGAACCATATCTTGAATGGTTACGATGGGAAAGCGAGTGGCGTATCGCTGTCCATCTGCGGGATCAATACTTATTGGTCCCGTTGAGCCATGACAGCCACCAATAACGTTACAGCAAATAATGTAATATTTATCGGTATCGAGGCATCTTCCTGGCCCAATAAACTTTTCCCACCACCCGGGCTTGGGATTTAGTGTCGTTGAATGTGCATGGGAAGAAGCCGATAGACCTGTGTGCAATAGGATCACGTTAGTTCGATCGGAGTTACATTTGCCCCACGTCTCGTACGCAATATTAAACTCGGGCAACACCCCACCCCAGTCTAGGTGTAATGGAGTTTTGCAATAATGTTTGAGAGTAGCACCGCTGGTATATGATGGTTCTGGGCCGCTTTGCATAGATAGCGCTTGAAGTTGCGAACTCTTGTTCTCCAAGGCGTCTATGCAGGGGAATTCTATTGCGGAGTTGGAAGAAATTACTTTCGTTTTCCGAACATTTTTCTCGCCGCTTGAAGAGTGAATAATTCTCCTTGAATTCAGGGGTTGAGCTGCTCTTACAACAGCTTGAACAGTGGTGGGTCGGTCTTGCGAATTACAGCGTAAGTTCTTCCTTGAGTGTCTTAGAATACTTCGGGTAACGATGCCCAGACCTTGAGTAATCATTATTTTTGGGCAACAGAAACTTTTATACAACAATAGTTAGAATGAAAGAATTATCTAAGATGAACCATGAAACTCAGTCTAGCGTCCTTCGTTTAGCGAAAATTGTTACCTGGCAGCCTAGATGCAAAAGAACGGTGATGTGTGTGTTCATTTTCTATTTGACTGTCAATATGCGACTCATTCAAGGCGGACAGCAAGGTCCTCGATTATTCATGAATTGACACTCTTGTTTAGGCTAGCAACTGAGAGGGATTAAATGCTGAGAAAATGTGTCCTATTGTGAAGGTTTAATAAATTCAGATGTACTTGAAAGACAATAACTCGATAGGAATTAATAACTTCCTCCTCGGCAAGACAATCTACCACTTAGTATACTGTCCCTTAAATCTTCTGTATAGACTAGTCTTAACTCCCCACCTTAGCCAGCTGAGAATCATCCTTTCCCCTCAACTCATGTCTTCTCCTGTACCATACTCCCCATCTGGCACGTTACCCCCCTTGAGACTTCCTTAAACGCACTGTTCACATTTCCTAGAGCTGTGCGTTCGAGCGTTGGGGTAGCGAAGTGGCTTGCGGTGACTTGGAAGTCAAAGCACGCCTGTAATAAGTATCACGGGATGCCTGTGGAGTTCGTTAAGTCAGATGTAAGTTGTACGTTCCTGATCCTAACAGGAAACTCTTAATGTTACAAGCACGCTAATACACGATTACATAAGGAGGACGAAGGCTGAATACCCGTCATTGGTGCCCTCTACAAACCTGGGAGTGAAATATTCTCCCAGAGCCAAGTTCAGTCAAATTTCGCAATACCAAAGAAGTTGGCCCACGAGGCAAAAATTCAAATTACTCCACCATGTCAATCTTTCACTCCCAGAGAGTCCGATTCTCAACTTAGCTTCATCAAGTCTACAAGTACGGCCTAGTACATCTTCCTTTCAATGACCACACCTCTCGTTGACTTTTTCTGGCCTCAGCCGGTCACCAAATACACGCCCACGCCGATATTTATACCCGACGGAGGAAGCAAAGCGTGGAGCACAAATCTGGGAGATAGCTCTTTGAGATGGACGTGAGAGGGATCAGGACAAGTTCATAAGATGATGCAGAAGAGGTATACGTGTTCGACGGGCATGAAATTTCGAGTTTTGGCAAGAGTTTTACGAATTGAGCTTTGTGCGCGCCAAGACTTCGCTTGCGAGAGTGCAGCTGACACTATAAAAACAAGCAAAAACGATGGAAGGTGTTGTGATCCGCCTCCTGGCGGTGTTCTCTGGTATGGTTGGGGTAGCCTGGGCATCTACTCCACTTGGGAAGGAGACACCTCAGATCACATATCGCGCGGAGAAAAGTTGAAAGATGATGGAGGCATTTCTGGATAACTCAGGGTTTTTGAGACGTTCCCCTGGGTGGGTATTCACGGATGAGGGTTGACTTGGGGTGAATAAAAAGCCGCCATAACTTCGCAGTGTTACTTGCAAATGAAATCCGAGGCATGAGTGCTCCTCTTGTAAATTGAGTCATCTTTTCTGTACTTTTCTTTGATATTGTGTCATAGCTAGATAGCTTCATACGCAATTAAAATCTGATGCAAAAATAAAAAAGAGTGAAATATTCTCCCAGAGCCGAGATTCAGTCACGAAAAAGGGTGGGATGAAATTTAATTGATGGATTTTCGACTTGAAGGAGTTGCACTCAATATTTTGGTCGAAAAATCAGTCGGCAGAGGTTTCACAGCTGGAAAAAAGTCGAACAAAAACTCATCACCACCGACATAAGATTCAAAAATGGGCCTAGGTCTATCTGGGCGTCGTATTCAAACATCCGACATCTCTTAAACTCCTTTTATACTTTCGTAGAAGCATGTCTCAATCGATCCTACACCTGCGACCTACCTCCATACTTGTCACGTCATCTTACTAGACACGCCCTAATGAGGAAAGTCATGATGGAAACAGGACGTGTGCAAAGGAGGAAGAAAATGGAAGATACACCGAGGGGATTACACAAATTCCCAATGACAACAACAACACGACGGTACGATACAAAGGTGCAAGGCTAGAGCAATGATGAAATATTGGACGGCATTTATATTTCGGAGTCAATGAGGATGTCAAGGGCTCGGGCGCGTGGTGGCCGAGGCCGAGGAGGAATTTGTGCTTAGGCCCGTCATCAGAGGGTTCTCTGGACGGTTGGGCTTGACATGATTCAATACATGGGTGAAGTCTGAGGTGGTCCGGTTATTCAGGTAGGGCGAGGTAGATATACTTAATGGTAGTTAACCTGATCTAGCCCAGCCCCACCCGTGCTTAAGCTCCAGTAGGAGTGTAACGGTAGTCACTTATCCTAACACGTTAATGAACAAACCAAACCAAACCTAGGCTCTACTCTCGACCATAATTTGTGATTCCAGCAAACTCACGTCGATATAGAGAGCTAGATTAGCTCATTATCCGATGCAAGTCGCCGAAATTGCTATCTCCAGGGCGAAAACTGTGTAAACTTACCGCAGTCTGCATGGCCACGGAAACTATTAAGCCTACCATTGACACTTCGACAATCTAAATGGTCACAAGTTACGCGCCTTCAGTTATGTGGATATTCCAACTTTCTTACAACAATGCTGGCTTCGTGTTGGAAAATATACTCTGCAAGATATTATACAGATATATATGATGAAGTAAAGAAGACTTGATATTTTACAACTATGGGAACATTGGACTTATATATACATTCTAGGGGAGAAATTCTCACTAGTCTCATGTGCCTGTCATCCCTAGTGATAACCAGCCACCTCTCATCTACCATGATGAGCCAAGATACACTGTAGTACATAAATATCCAAACCTATATGCAACAGTAGGCGCAATTAGCGCACTTGTGATATGTGTGGATCCCGGATAGATCTACAGGGCACAAATTAGCTAGATGTAGGAAACACTGCACACACATAATTGTAATTATCCTATGACCTCACACGCAGCAAATCGCACTGTCAGAGCCCCCAATCACAGCCTACGACCACAGCAGTAGATCTACTGGCGTTGAGGAGTAGGGAGTATTCAATGTATATAGACACATAGACATCCGACACTTGAAGTATGTCACGGTTTGACCATTGTCTGAGCTTATGTGGATACCTAAACGTATTGTTGAGGATTCATGTTGTAAGACTTTAAGGAAATGATAAAGAAAACTGGGAGATACAGCACTACTAGCCAAGGGGCCAGATCAGTGTCACAGCGTAGTGATTCTTGATAATGTGTGGCTGGGTGGCAAGTATTCGGCCTAGGGTGAAGAAATCAGTCAAGACAATCACTGAGGGGCTGAATGTTATAAATACCCGTTAGTTGTAGCTAGATTTCTCTTTCCTCTTTATACAGTTTATTAACTTGACATTATCATCACCAACAGTTACGCCCTCAGGGCTCCAAACATGCAATGAGCAAGGCAGTGTAGGTGCTTGAACATGAAACACCTACACGTGACATGAATGCCAATCTAGTCTTGGCATTACTCAGCAAACACCCACAATTCATGTATACAGAGCTCGCTGTAATTACTCCTATTTCTCCTTCCATGGCCAATCTATCTTACATTCCTAAGGCTGCCTCTCTACCATTTTCATACCTCGTGACTCCAACTCAGGTTTCCCATCACAAAGGATATAGAATTCACGTATTGGTCTCAAGCTCTACACAAGATCCGTTGTAGTTAAGAGCCACGCGACACCACGTGATACCCTTTCATTCTTACGCCCACCACACCATTTACTAAGTATACAACCCGCGCTCGGAAACCTCACATGTGTAAAGAGAGTCGATCTTGTCGGGTATCTGTGTTATGATGTGCAATAACAGAGTAGTCGAGATTTGGGAATTGCTTACAGCCTTAGGCCACGGGATAATATAGCTAGTGTGCTGGTCAAGCGAGCATGTATATAATCTCCTAAGTGTACCCACAATAAAAGGATGCAGGTTTATTCTTACACTTTCTGTTCATATCCTCACAGCATGACATTGTATAAGTCTATTCACTGTCACCCACAGCCAATAGTATACTAAGACCGCACCACTCCCTCACCATAGCTTCTGTGTTGCTCATAATCATAATAACCTATGACGAAACAGATGGTGGTTGAATCCTAAATTCGAGAGACAGAATTTCCAACACTTCGTGTACAGGAAACGCGTCAATTAAGAGATGTTGGAAATTCTGACTCTCGAATTTAGGACTCAATCATTACCTGTTTTGTCTCAGGTTCCGGACAAGATCGACTCTCTCTACACATGTCCCGAGTGCGCTAATTGCGCCTACTGTCGCCTATACGTTTGGATATTTACGTACTACAGTGTGCCTTGGCTTATAATGGTAGATGAGAGGTGGCTAGCGGGAATTTCTACCTTAGATGTATATATAAGTCCAATGTTCCCATAGTTGTAAAATATCAAGTCTTCTTTACTTCATCATATTTATCCATATAATATCGTACAGAGTATATTTTCCAACAAGAGATTTAAACTAGCTCAATAATGTTACTGGCTGTAGTGATCTAACGCTGTTCAATCTGCGGATTTTGTGGTGAGCAGTTATTACATCTCACGTGATGGAACACAGGAGCAATGTAAAAGAGGGGACAGCCCACTAGCCAAATCTAAGCTATTACAGGCACATGTAGTACTGTAGCACATTCTCTGTAGATGGACATAACAAGCAATTATCATCAAGTAATTGAATTAACCTCCACACAATTGAGACCCATAGAAGTGCCAAACTTTCATACAACTGTCACAGACTGACTGAGGTGGAGATATTATCCTGCCAACCTCTGGCTCTAAGACTATATGGCTACTGCTATTTCATGGATAGATTCATGGTGTTGAGGTAGAGTCTGATCCTAGCTTCGGCTGGTATCCCTCTAGACAAGTTCTAGTTACTTCGATAGAATTCTAAGCTACTCTGGCAATTAGTTTCTAGATGATTCGGGATGGCATTTTTTACTC